CCTTGCTTGGTCGACTAGTTAATTGCTCGACTCCTTTGGCTTTCTCATAATATGACCTCCTCGACCGGTCAACAGACCGGTTCAGCCTTGTGGGTATAATATCCCATATCAGTTTCTCTACTCTGATATTTTTTATTAGTTTTTTTTTTATATTGACAAATATTTCATTTGTAGTTTATCTCATAGGGCAAAATTTATGGAAGAGAGAGATTGAGTTTAAGGAAATAAGGAGAGAGAGAGAATGGAAAAAATGGGGAGCAGTAATATATGAGAGAGAGAGTTATTTATTGAAGAAAGAGATTATAAATGTAAGGGAAAAAATTAAAAGGCAAACTATTTGTAGTTGTGATATTTGTTTCAATGCATTGTATTGCTGGAATGAGTGTGAGCCGGAGAGGTATACATGTATTTTAGCCAATATATTTTGCATTGTAAATGACTAAAATGTTTGTACATACTTTCTAGTTCTAATTACCTTCAAATTAAAAATAAAGCAATTTATTGTGATGCACATAATTTTATTTTTTAAAAATATAATTTATAAATTAAAATACAAACATAGTTGTATATCTTCCTAACATAAATATATAATATTTTAAAATATAAAAAATAAAATAAGAAAAAGTTATCAACATATTCAACATTGTCGGATGTATCTATTATTGAACTCTTATTTAGAAAAATATCATCATACAAAAAGTAATGAAAAAATATATAAAATTATTTCCGAACCTCCGACTGCCTACGGCATGCCGTCCCCGACAGTTGGCAGGTCCCTTCGTCGGCGGATGGCCTGTAGCTGTGTACCCTCGCCTCAATTTCACGCTTCTCCGAGCTTCTTGTGTCGATGGTGGATTTCATTTGCCAGTTGGTCGGACTCGTCGTCTCTCGATTGTTGGTGGTGGTATTGGATGCTGGCCCTCCAAATCGCGTCGTTGGTGGTTGGCCCGATGGTTAGCTTCATCTCTGCTTGGTCGTCGGTGGCGATCTCGGCTGTTGTGCGTCTGGATTATGGTG